ATGCAAGTTTTTTCGATGCTAGTTTTTTTACAAGTATATTGTTGGTATTTTTGTTACTCTGAACAAATCACTCGCCGGGCAGGTCTGTCCACTCTAATAAATAAGAAGCTTTGTGAACTGTGGTCCCCAGTACATCTGTGTGAAGTTTATTCCCGTGGCCTCTGTTGGGAGGGATGTCCTTCACAGAATCTTCATGGTTGGAAGGGATCTTTGAGATCATCGAGTCCAACCACAAAAAACACCCAAAAAAACCCCCAGAAACAGACAAACTCCAACAATCTCGGGCACTAAAGCATGCCCTGAAGTACCAAGTCTACACATTCCTTAAATAACTCCAGGGATGGTGACTGCATCACCTCCCTGGGCAGGTTGTTATCCTTGCAGGGATAACTCACTCCAGAAACCCTCATGAGGACACAGCATCCACAAGTCTGTACCAGGGATTCACCCAGCCCTCTGACACCGCTCCAGCAAGATCCATGCTTCCCAGGACACCACCAGGTACTGTGAGGCCACGCCAACCTCAAATCCACTCTTCAGAACCAAAAGCTGGGTATGTGACCAGGTCAAAAAACTCAAGCTCTTGCTACCCTGGGAATAAACCCACCAAATTAAACCATAGCATCTTCTTTCAGGTGCTTTGAAATAATAAAAAAAAAACAACCACCAAACAGAAATGAAAGGTTGTGAGCAACGTCTTCATGTGGAACAGAGATGTGGTCCAAGCACCACACAGTATCGGTGCAGGGAGCCTGCTGGGCTAACACCACCCATGTCTGACATGGGCTAGGAGGCCAGTACAGCTCCCTGAGCGGGTCCAGTTGGTGCACACACAGCCAGCGAGACAGAAATACCCACTTTGGTGTCATTTAGGTGTCTACATCCGGATAAATCCATCAGTCTCCACCTGATAAGCATGGACACCTTCCACAGCACTGCATCAGAAACGCCAGGGCCTTTTGCCCTCGGCTACATCCCATTTTGTGCCATCACACAGATGCAGTTGCAAACTAAACCTCCTCTTGCTTATGATTAAAACATTACAGGACTGACCTTGTAGGTACCGCATCCTCACTTTTCAGAGGGGTCCACATTACAGGTCTAGATAAACCACTTTGGAAATTTACATTTTGGAATTTGGAAATTTTCTTTGGAAAAATACAATCAGAGATGCTACACCCCCTTCTGCATCTTCCCAGAGCTAAGTCTCTTACCTGGGAAGTGGGAGACTTTGTCTTCTGCTCTCTCCTCCAAGACCTGCACCCTGGACCATGCCGAGGGCTACAAAGATGATGAGGGGCCTGGAGCATCTCCCTTAGGAGCACCTCCTTATAGTCTAGAGAACAGAAGGCTGAGGGGGGATCTGATCAACACCTATAAATCCTTAAAGGGAGGGCGTCAATAGGATGGGGACGGTCTTTTTTCAGTGGTGCCCAGGGACAGGACAAGAAATGGTCACAAACTTGAATGTAAGAAGTTCCCCCTAAACATGAGGAGGAACTTCTTTCCTGTGAGGGTGGCAGAGCCCTGGAACAGGCTGCCCAGGGAGGTGGTGGAGTCTCCTTCTCTGGAGACATTCAAAACCCGCCTGGGCACGTTCCTGTGCAACCTGCTCTGGGTGGACCTGCTTTGGCAGGGGGGTTGGACTAGATGATCTTCAGAGGTCCCTTCCAACCCCATGTGACTCTGTGATTTTGATTACTACACGTTTCTGAACCGAGGGGCGATCTAACTCACCTGGACATGTTCCTGTGCAACCTGCTCTGGGTGGACCTGCTTTGGCAGGGGGTTGGACTGGATGATCTCCAGAGGTCCCTTCCAGCCCCATATGATTCTGTGATTTTGATTACTACACATTTCTGAACCGAGGGGCGACCCCTCGTACCTCTCTCTGAATCACGCCGCTGCTCACAAAGACATCAAAGATTCCGAGCGAGAGAATACGCCAGAGCAGCTTGACCCTTACCCTGCAGAGAAAAGGGACTTCTCTGGGCGTTTGGAAGCCGAGGTTTCCATTTCTTTTCTTAATCCCCTCTCTGCATTTCATCCAAGCTGCATAAGCAGGCCTCGAGTTAGGGCAGCAACACTTCCAGCATTTAATACCGGCACACTTTTTTTTTCTTCCCACTGAGCTCGCTGGCAACTCCGAGATGGTTAACTCCTCTTCTTCCTTCTAACAGGCATCTTGTTTTTAAGTCTGTTTTAATTCCAGCGTTGGCATTTTCGGGGTTTTTTAGCTTTCGTCTCATGGGCCCGGGCACAAACAATGTGCACAAAGGAAGTCTGGAGCTGTAGGAGCTGAGAGAAACGGTGGAATTCTAACGCTGGCACAAAAAAAAAGGATGCCATGAGGGGCAGGAGAGGCAGCAGAGAATTGCCCTCCTGACTTTCCCCCGGTAGCTACAACAGATGGATCACATAATCCAGTGCAAACAGCCAGCAAGTTTCTCAGTAATAAGAGAAAAGGACATCATGACCTCTAGGTAAAAAACTCCTAGGA